AAACTGATACATGTTTCTTACTTAAGATCATATCATGTACTAAAAGCGTCAAGTCTTTAAAATATAGTGTTAATCTAACCACGAAACCACTTCAAAGTCATAATACGCCGACTTTCACAAAGTAATTTCTTACCTCAAAGGATGCAGTAGTGAATGATGTTTTATGTGACTACTTCCAGAGACACTGTGGTGTATATAAGTCTACCCAGCTGTATAGAAAATACAGCGCCAAGTTATTCAAACATATAGCCCGTAAACTCGAGTATAAACTACAGCGAAAGGTTGCACGGTATATGAATACTTTTCACACTTTGCTAATTATCTCCTGTATCACGGAAAAGAATTCTAATTTCAGTATATATATATATATTCTCGTTCTATTTTGGGCGAATATGTGAGATGTCCCAATCATTTTGTGTGGGTTGTTTAGTCAACCATGAAAACAGTTTCCCGATGTTAAACCCCTTCCGAGAGCTACATGTAACTTAGACTAACCAGACCAGCGCTCGAACGGAAAAAAAAATACTCAAACACTTCTTATTTTTTGGTTCTCGTTCCACATAACGACCTGTTTGTCCAATCATGATGCACGATAATTATGGGATGTAGACGCCTGTCTACATTTTAATAAGAAAATCTCTCAAACGAAGCCATGATAATCTGAATTCAGCAGACGACTGCGCGCGACCACTATCAAAATAAACGTCAATAACAGAAAAAGTGTGCCTCCCTTTTTCGATATCCTAAAAAAATCATAATAGAATATCTGACGTAAAGGTAATATTGCATCAAAAGTAGATTTTACAAAATACAAACCAAACTATTGGTTACGTTTCCCCCACAGAATGTCATGCTGATTTGTGATTTTAGGGGCCATCAAATGCAAAAAATGAATTCATTTATCTTGTATATTTCTACCACGATATTGACCTGGTAATTTGTCTGTTGTGGATTCTGTATTATAGGTCCAAATATCATTATATAGAACAACACCACAACAACATGGTTTGATATTTCAATGTTCTAGCATAGGTTCCGATTTTCGTCAATAGTCACCACTACATTGGTGGCGTTTAACCAATGGCTGAAAAAGTAGGAACTACTGCGTGTGATCACATATAGCTGAAAATGTTTACGCAACACTCGTTTAAGTGATTGACAAGTATTCGGATTAAAGTAACAAAAAGCTATGTCCTATCCTCGACCACTAATCAAGCGTTCTTCAGATTGTAGAGGAAATTAATTTTATGCATATGTTGCGTGGTTTTTTTTTCAGATATCGCTGAAAGGCGATCCAGACGATGGTGAAATGACTGTAGAATGTATAATGACATCAGATTGTTGGAAGCTAGCTTGTATAAACATAACGCTATATCTTTGTATTGACGAGTTCTGTTTCTACTTCACCATCAGGCGCTTCTTAGCAAGATGGAGAGAGGTTACAGGCAGGTGGAATGTGACCAGTATGGCGGAGGTGCAGTGGTGGTGTGGAGATGCATGAGCTGATTGGTCCTCCCTCTCTACCAGAATGGTGCCTTTACGGCCCGGAATCACTGTGATGAAATCATTGATGCCAATGCCAGACCCTACGCTGGATGTATTTGACCTGACTTCATCCATACAGACGATGATACTTGGCCACAAAGAACACAGGTAGCTGAGCAGCACCCAGAGCAAGAGTTAATTCAACTAATATGACTGATCTGGCCGCTCACCGGATCTGAAGCCCATCGACCGTGTGTGGGAATGCTAGAGGATATTCAACAAGCCGTATTCCTCGTTACAATTTCACCTGCTACTGCTGTGATTTATAACTATAGCACGTTTTGACGGTTTGCCTAACGGACACCAGTTGTACCATTTGACCGAAGCTATCGACGGTCCAACAAGGGATGAGGTTGAGGATGGCGATAATATTAGTTGAACAATCGAAAGACATTTCGGGTGATGCTTCACGCGACGTTTCCAATTGTGTGATATTTTAATGGTGTTTTCATCTTGTGTCCATTGTTTAGGCAATTATCGACGCTTCTGTGTTTGCAGTTACCCATGACTAGTATCTTCTAGTTATGTTGTGTTGTCTGTATGCTTGTAGACTCAACATATTTAAATTGTGGGAGCTAATAGTCTTCATCTTTGGAGCAACGTGAAAAATACATCAAAGGCAGAGAAAAAAAATGAAGTAATAAAACAATTCAGACCTAATGGAGATCCGAAGTGTTCCGCGGTCAGATACTCATCCATTGACAGATCAGCCTATCCTAATGGATGTCATGCCAAACTTCACAGAATCCGCCTTGTGCAAGACTCCTCAACAAGAAGTGAACGAGGTACCCCTGTGACCTGCAATGTCATCAGACATGAACCCATTTACTCACACAAATCAATGCAATAGATTCAAACCGCCAAACAGTCGAACTATGTGCTACATTAATCCAGGTGTGACAGTGTTTTGCTCTGAACAAACGTCGGCGCTCGGTCGTACCAAAAAGCATTGTGGCTTTACCTGATACCGCCATATTCAAACCAGAACTCGTTGATAAGTTATTCTTCAAGTAATAAGTTTAGGTGATTTGATGTATTTGTTAATAAGAGACAAGTAACATCAATTTTTTTTCTAAAAGTTGGGAATGCCTCATTGAGCGTGTCCTTTTGAAATGATATGCACTTCCGGTTCCGTAATTTTCCCCTTCATATAGCAGTTTCATAAGATGCTAAAAAACATTCCTATAAATCATGGCGAGTTGTCACTGTTTTCTAATACAGAAAACAAAATTAGGTCCAGTCTAAGATATGGGTTGTCCCTAACTTATGACAAAGTGTGTATATTAACTTAATGACAATAAGTGAAGGATAGGTCCTACAGGAACGTTAGCAAATCACATAACGTAACTTGCAACATGAAACTGAACTATGGAAAATATTGCCATGGTGACAACGACGCCGTTTAAGTCATAGCAGTCAGTGCTGTGTACAACAAAGTGAGAAGCATTGGGTGACATCAAGGTAAGAAGAACTTTGGATTTTCCTTAGTCGCCTCCTATGCTTCAAATCTTAGGCCCACGGCATCACTGACAAGTTCTCAAAGGATGAAATAGATTGATGATGTAGCATCATTGACAAATTCTCAAAGGACCTAACAGATGTATGATGTAGTTAAATTCATTGTTTGCTTCTACTGTATCTCACTCTAAATTATGAGAAGGTACTATTCACTTGTGTGTCTTTTAATATTTTGCATTATTTACATCCCTAGAAGATTAATCAAAGCTATCTTTTTGTGGTTAGGGTAGGTATAAAAACATTGAGTACATCTGTAAATTAAATATAAATCAGGTAGATAAAAGATTTTCAACATCCAACCTCATGGACATCCGGCGACGTGTTTCGATCGGTATGATGCCGTCATCAGTCCAGATAGTCCTGTTTACTACACACTAAGGATCTCTATCAAATACCTCATGGTATCCATCCAGGATCTTGGCCGAAATATAAAACTTTAAAACGTGTTGGTTATCCTCTTTTTTTTTGGTAAATTAAATGTAATGACGAATCGTGTCATATATCACGTGACATTAATTGTGCCGTATTTGTTCATTGACCGTGCCATATATCACGTGATATTATTTGTGCTGTATTTGTACATTGTAACCATTACAGGAATGTATTGTATACCGTAAGAGCTGGACTAGATGTCCATTGTGTATCGTAGGCACGTTTTATTCCACTTGTATGTTATATTTCTCTTTGTTTACAAATCCAATGGATATTGAAATAGATGAAGATCCTTGCTTGAGCTTGTTTAGACCTGATCAGAGTACACTATAATCACTGCACTAGGTTAACGAGATTTGACATTGGACAAGGTAGGTAGATATATTTCCGTCAATCCAAACAACTGAGGAGGGTAGAGCTGGTATAAACCTTGCGATATTAAGGGGTCATTATGCTTTATGACAAATCTAAAGTGATTCCTCCAGTATTACCACCTACATCCGGTGAATTCTTTACCATGGACATGATAAATTAGTTTCTCATTATTTAAAGATTAAACATCCTATATCAATTAAGTTAAATCGAAAGACTTACTGTATACAGCTTGTAGGAAAGATGTGGCTGCGTCCTTGTAAAAAAATCATAAAAATGGGTCTGATTAAAAAGAATTGTCATGCCTTTTGATTTTCAATTCTTGTAGGAATAGCACAGGAACGTTATTAAACCTTTAAGGACACTTATATCCATTACTAAATACCACTGGAAAGTTTTCTTGTCACCATCATATTGTGGAATAGTATAATATGATGCAAGACGTGTGCATTGATCGTTAGTAACTTGATTTCCATTTGAAAACGTGACATTACATGGATTGATCAAGATTTACATGGTGCCGTGGATGTAGTTAAAGACTCTTATACTTTCGTAATACCTGGTCTTTGAAAATGTTTTTTCGATCGTTTCATAGATTTTGAATTAGAGGGTTTTTTTTCAATACATCAATGTAATTTAATGTTTTCGTGTTCTAAAGTATAAATATTGTGATAATATCAGTTGTCTATAGTCCCATTAAGTTTCTCCTAACGATATGCAACGCCAGACAAAGCTATCTCTAGGTAGGATGGAAAGACTTCCAAACTCGCCTTCCAGATTTTTACACATTATACTTTCGCATCTTGGACAAGTCCTACAGGGACGAATGGTCCTAGGGTGAAGTTTAATTTATTATTCGTTACATGTATTCCATATAACCAATTGTGTATCTTTTGTACAATCCTTGTCTCTAGTTTAAGTCTTCATATGCAACGATAAGAACGGACCGAGATTAGACCTTCGCAACTTACTCTTGATTCACTAAATCGACATGTGATATGATGCCTTTGACATGGGCCAGACCTATTAACGCAATATGGTTTATATTTCAAGGAAATTTATACAATTTGATGCCAAATTATTTATTGTAGTATAAAATTTTCACAGTAACTTATACACAAAGATGTGATGAATTTAAGTTCAATTCAAACTGAACAACAGTAGTGGACAAATCAAACCGAAATGTTATAATTGAAAAGATGACAAACTGAATAATTAATAAATTTTCATTAATACAACATAATGATTTAATTTTTCCCTAAAACAGATAATGTATAGCAATTACCACAATTAAATTTAAATACTCTGATGATCTTTGACACCAAGATTAACAAGTGCGGAAGCTTCCACCTCACTGATATACATAGAAGACCCGTTCTGGATGTCGATTATAGGATGAGTCGACGTCGCATCACTCCCTGACGTTGAAATGGTGTTATCCACCAGAGGTTGAGGCTGGAGTATTCCACTATCTTTTACAGATCCATCTGAATGCCCCATTAAAACATGAGTCTCTACTTCCTGGAAAGTTTCAAACACTGCATTACACTCGCTACATATGTACAGAGCTGGTTCGCTTTCTTCGGTCATAGAACTATCTGTGACCTGGGCAGATTCAAGTTGCACAATTCCATCAGGAGTCAGGATTTGTGTAGCTTCCATATTGGATGACTGTGGATCCAGGGACATCACTGCATTTGATAAAGAGACTTGTTCCGACTGATTCATGCCCTGTTCTGCTAGGACCAGGATCACATTTGACCCAGATTTCTGTCTCAAAACAACTCCCTTACATTTGGGCTTGTGATTCTTTAAGGTGTTTTTACAGGAAAATGACCTTCCACATTCTTCACAAACAAAATCACTATGGCCTGTGTGAGTAACAAGGTGTTGGTTAAGAAGACGTTGCATTTTGAAGGCTTTTCTACAAATTGGGCATGGGAATGGTTTAACTGTGGTGTGCTTGAAAAGTTTGTGTTTGTCCAGTACACTCTTGAAGGTGAATTTTTGGTTACACTTATCACACGAATATGGTTTTTCTCCTGTGTGCTTGTTAAGATGATCAGAATAAGTGTTTTTATTGAGGAAACGTTTTCCACAAAAGTCACAAACATATCTGTAGGATCGTTCTTCTGGCTTCTTGTGGATCTCCATGTGTCCCTTCAAAGTTGTACGCTCAGTGAACCTTTTGTTGCATATTTCACATGCATAGTCTTTGCTGTCAGAATGTCGCTTCATGTGAGCCTTCATGTATCGTACATGGTCAAAATTCTTGCCACAAATGTGACACACAGCTGATTTTGATTTTGTGTGGACAGCCTGGATGTGTGTTTGCATGTGCATGAATCGAGCAAAGGTCTTTCCACAATGTTCACATACTGGGGTGTCATTGTGTATAAATTCCCGGTGAGCATACAAACAGTTCAAACGGAAAGTTTTGAAGTCACACTTCAGACACCTGTACTCTTTTCTATTTGGATTTTTCTCAAACTCGGATTTCCGTTTAACTTCTGGATTTATTATCGATTTCTGGACTTGTTTAAATGGCTGGTGTCTTCGATGCAAATGATTTTCGAGAGCTGATTCATCTTGAAAGATTACTTCACATATGTCACAGCGAAAGGGGCAGTGTGTTTGATGAATATCTAACAAGTGATGTTGTAAGCTAGTAAAACTATCTGGAATGAAATCACATAAATTACATTTATCTCTCACACCACCATCATCACCGAAATCTTCCCCTGCTACATTGACTTGTATCTCATTCTCTAAATACTGGCCATCTGATGTAATTTGCATATCGCTGTCATTTCTATTTGTATAAGAAAAACCCAAAGACTTCCTTCCGAGTTTTATGGAATCTTCAAAAACTATTGCAGGAATATGTGCTATGTTGTCACCTCTTCGCTTTGTCAAAGGTGTAGAAGCACTCTTTTGGATGATCATCATCTCATCAATTTCTTCATCAACATTACTGTAAATATCTTCTGAATCACCCTTGTTTCTTTTGTCAACAGGAAGGTTTGGTTCAGGATTCCCTATTGCTGTTAAAACCGAATCAGCATCAGTTAATTTTGTGGTTGTGTTTTTTTCAAGTAAAGTCAAATCAACTGATGACTTTTTATCTGTTTGGGGAAGAAATTCTTTGCTTCTAGCCTGTGTATTCCTATCTGTTATATCATTTTTCTTTGATAAATTGCTGTTGTCCTCTGAGGATCCCTTCCTCCCATTTACCATGGCAGAAAAATCAAGTCTTTTCCCTCTGGTGGAGTATCGCTTTGAACTTACGGTAGAAACAGAATCTACATGAATATTTGGTTTTTCATCGATATTCTGTGAATTTGCTTTTCTTTTCCCAGTAATGGGTTGCTTTTCTGCAGAGGAGCCTGTCTCAGATTTCACTGGTAACTGAATATGATCCATACTGTCTATACTTTGGTTCAATAAATTTCTCTCTACACAGCTTTCTTTAGATAAGTAAGAGTTTTTCTGTGTTTGTTGCAGTTTGGAAGTTTTCTTGGCACGACCACGTTTTCTCTTCATTGGAAGACTTTTTGAGTTCACAGCATTTTCCATATTGACGTCTTGCTCGTTCTCCGTCTTTTGTCCTATCATTGCTAAACTATCTGTATTTGTTTCATCATCTTTCGAAACTTCTGTAGGGAAAGAAGAAAAATAAGGATATGCTTATTTGATGATCAAATGATAAATTATTCTGTTACGAGAAGAGTTAATTTTCTGTTACAATACATCTACACAACTTTTCTTAAAGTATTAAAATACTAAAAATGGTCTTTGAATTAAACGCTATCTACTCTGAGCATAACAAAATTAGTTTCCTTAACTTTTACTATAGTTTGCAATTTACTAAATTCTAGCAGCAATATGAGTGAGCCTGGCTTGATGCGTTATCCTTTGTCCATATATGGGCATACCTTACTCCAATATTAAAACTGGTTCAAAATGATTTATAATACCGCAAGCATATTTATTTTGTCAAATCAAATATTAGTGAAATATCTTTTTAACAAATAAGTCAAAGACGAATCCTCACATTTATAATAATTGTTATATTTATGACAAACAGAAAGTACACTTAGCACGACGATAATTTATAGCAATATCTCAAGTGTGAAAAGTACTAAGATATGATAACCCCTAAGATATGAAGGTTTTCAGTAACTAAAGTTGTCAAATCAACTTGATTTTTTTTTTACATATTTGGAATCCAACAAACAAGAGCTGTGTATAATCAATATAATGATGATTTTATCAAGCTTCTCTTCTTGTTTTCCATGTCTTAAGAAATGGACTACTTGCACCTCCCCATTAAGATTTTGACTTTTCTTTCAACCACCTTGGATTTTGTTAGGTCACCTCCTAGGCTTCATAATTTAGGCCCTTAGCATCACTAATGAGTACTAGAAGGGCAAAACAGCTGTATGATGCAGTTGATTTTTTTGGCTCTATATAACTCTTAAGTTGTATAAAAAAAGTGCTATTTACTTTTCTTTTGTACAAACTATATAAAGTTACACTTATTTTTTGTACGTAATGCAGCATTGTCAGTGGGAATGCAAATGAAGTGTTTCTTTAGTGAAATTAAAAAGCCTAGATATACCGGTAAGCCACTTGTACCATTCACACATGTTGTAAAGATTCTACTAGCTAGTAAAACTTGAAGCTGCTTGTAGATCAAAGGAAGACCTAAAACTGTGGACAGATATTAGCGTTTTTAGAAAGTAATTTAAAAACAAGAAATTACTGCAATTCTTTCTTCATAACATCTATCAGAATATGTAGAATTCAAAACTTTCATTTCCACTACTTTTCTATCATCTCTTCATGCACACGCATTCTTTGTTATTTTTCAGAGCATTTTTAAAACAAATTTTCCTGTTCATTTGTTTAAGATTGAATCAAACAATACTAGAATAATAAGAAAGCAGTAATATGAAAATGCAACATTCATTTGATTTTACAGCTCAAAATTGCATCCAGAAAATGATTTCTGAAAGTCTGGGTTTAATATACATTTTTTAACATAATGGAAACACATCACAAAATTAAGTCTACATCATAAATTCTACAAACATATTGAGTGCTCAATTACAGCACATCATAAATTCTACAAGTAAGTCTTGTTTTAAATGGATAATACAAACCTTGAGATTCATCCTTTCTAAATAGTTCTACTGAATCAGTCTCCGGAGAATGCACTTTCAATATACACTGAAAACAAAACAATACAATGAAACACAACAATACATTGAAACACAACAATACATTGAAACATAACAATACATTGAAACACAACAAAGCAATAACAATACACAACAATGCAAGGGGCTGTCAATATACACTAAACATTGTAATGTTACATCAATACCAAAAAAAACAAGCCATCATAAAGTTCTATTTATGAATCTCCCCCCCCCCCCCCCCCCCACCACCTCAACATGTATCTTTTGATTTATCATTTCCCTTCTTTTCTCTTCTTCTTGAACAGTAGCAAATCAAAGCATGTCCAACTGCAGACAAAGGGAAATCTACAAATGAGAATTATCTATCCAGAACTTTTCAACAAATAGCAATGACGTTATGTATAACTGACAAAATTTAAGATGGTTGATTCTCAGCCATTTTGTTTTTCTGATCAGTCCCACAATGAGTGACCAAGAGAAACCTACATACTGGTATGTATCAAACAATAATAGTATAATAACATAGCAGTAATATCAAAATGCAACTTGAAATTTGAGCATGGTCCGGCCAGAACTTCTCATCGACAAGAATGGTGATAAAAAGAATTGTTTAAACTGATGGACCAGTGACGATTGTGGGCTAAAATCATTCACATCCCCATTTGACAAAGATTAAAATTGATTCTTTGATTTGAGATTTTGAACGTGCTTACAAAGTTTCAGCTCAATACCACCTGTGGGCCTTGAGAAGTTTAAAATGAGTTTTTTCACAATGGTGGCCATATTGAATTTCTTACCCTAATCACTTGGTCAACACCATCTCAATGTCAATCCTAGCTAGCTTGAGCTTAACCCTTTCAGCGCCAAATATTTTTCACAATGTACAGCTCAGCGCCAAATATTTCTCACAATGTACAGCTCAGCGCCAAATATTTTACGGAAAATATCCAAAAACAATGGCAAAAATTGTCGACTAAAGTCGCCTATGGCGGCCTGTCTGCATGTCGACTTTAGTCGCCTACAGCGCCGAAAGGGTTAATCCTACTCATGTAACCTGAAAAGTTAACATATATGCTATTCTGGAAAACTGTGGTTGTGCAATCACATAACAAATCTGCCACCATGACTTCCACAATGGAATGTTTGCCAAAAACAACAAAACTTTGTTGGCATCCTGGTCTTAACATCTCCACCAATTTATGACTTTTTATTCAAGGAAACATGAAGATAGCACAATATTCAAGATAGCAGCCATAGTGGCCATCTTGAATGCTGCACAGGTCCGAAATGAATCTATAACCATTTGTTGACCTAACATCAATTATTTGTGAAAGTCCTCTTTTAACATAACACTCTGTTGAAGTAGAAATAAAAAGATTTTCTAAATGGCAGTAATTGTTGTCAACTTCAATGCCATATGGATGAGAGTTTTACAACAATTGTGAAACAAGCAGATTTTTATCACTAAGGTTAACCCAGATTGAAATGTGCACAATGCCTCTTATTGTCGGAGGAAACTGGAATACCCATGGAAAACGAATTGGGGAATCAAGCCCTGTTTGACTAGGTGGAAGGTGGGAGTGTTACTACTTTGCAACCCAAATATCAAAAATAAACGCTTCTAATTGAATATAAATAATATTGTAATGATGGAACTTACTTTGTATAATTGATGCTTGGCCTGTACAATGTCCTCCAGGCGACCACTCAGGGTGTACTGAGGAGAAGAGATCCCTGGTGACCAGCCAACAGATAAATCCATTTGCATAGCCATTTTACTTATGATATCATCCATAGTTGTTTGGTCAAAAGCTTCTATCAGTTTTCTTGACAAGGTGGCAGTGACTTTCTCATATACCTAAAACCACATTAACAACCCCAACATTTATACGCCTCAACGACAGAGCGGTGTTGATGTCAAATATCTAACACGATATTCCAAACTTAACTCAGCTATTATCACAAAATGGTGGTAGTTTTCTTAAATACATAACTAACAAGAGGCCCAAAAAGCTGAAGATTATACACAAAACATTGTTTTTTTTGTATGAATTTCTGTAAACTTGGAAGCCAATTCTTCAAGCATGATAGAACACAAACACCATGACAAAGGCTTTATTTTTTGTTGGAAAAGAAGAATTAAAAAAAAATATCCATACATTTGACCAATGTGACCTTGAAAGTGGGTCAAGATCAATCATTTAAACAAACTTGATAGCCTTTCATACCAGCATAATACAGACCCAATATCAGCACCCTGATGATTACTAAGATGAAGTTGTTTAATAATTTTAACACAATTGATCACTGTGATCTTATAAATAGGTCAAGGTCATTTATTTCAATAAATTTGGTAGCACTTCATCCCAGCACACTACCAGCCAAATATCGGTATGATGGGTATGGGCCTTTTGTTTTATAAGATAAGTGAGCTAAAAACCAAATGAGTAGATACATGTATAGGTTTGTGTTAATCTGCTTTCATGACTTGTGTTTGTGTGATCTCCTCCAATACCTATATCAATAGAATCAGAAGTTATTTGTTTATCACAGTATATTACAACAGTTTATATAGACCAGTCTGGAGTCTATTGATACTTACGTCAATAGAAGAAATATCTTCACAGGTCTCAGCATTTTCTGGGAAATTTTCAACTATCACAGGGGCTTGTTCAACTGCCAGAGGATCAGGCAAGATATCTTCCTCTCTTACAACTGTATCCAGTCAGTGAAAACAGAATCATTTTGATGAACAATTAAATCAAACAGCCAGCTACTACAGACATACATGATATGCTGGTTACATATAGTAAAAAAAATATAAAGCTCTGTTATGCTTTCATGTTACCACATCTTCTTACTACCAAAATATAAAACTGCTTCTACAAGATAGATTTGCTGTCTTACAACACTGTCTCACAAGCAGCATTTGCATAGCCCGTTGAAATGGTTTGGGTGGTCGAAAATTATTCTATGATTAATGACTGCACCTGTATCGGATGTTGGAAACATAACAAGTACAGCCCAAAATGCAGAGTTGGGGAATTTACTCCCAGACAGAATGAACCAACAGAAAATGTCCCATTTTAAGTTTTACTTTATAGCATAACATTTCTGGAAATATGTGCATATACAGACACTGCTTTATTCTGAAATTCTGAAAACTAATGATATTCAGGTAGTTAGTTTCAAATAGGTATGACTCGTCCTCTCAAATTGCACATCCCAAATATTCCCCAGTCCAGCTTCGTTCCCAGTCTATGCGTTTGTAGGTTCAGCATGTCCATCCATTTTGACCACTCAGTGGAAAGTGACCTATGTGAACTATACCATATGATATCTCCATTAAGACACTGTCTCTCAGTAACCTAAATACTGGATATAATGCTGCTTATTTACCACATATTATTTTCCTTACCACACTCTCTCTCAGCCACCTCCCCAATCGCAGGAGTTTCGATGGAGGAGTCAGTTAAGACCACTGCTTCCATATTAGTCAGAGATTCAACAGCTACCTCAGCCTCATGCAAGAACTCTTCATCCTCATTTTTGTCTTTGTTTTTTGTGACTGCAAACCTGGAACATCAAGAAAGTGTAGAGATTTTTAGTAATATTAAAGAAATGTGCAAGTAATACATATTCCATAAACAAAGAGGAAATTTATGTGAATTTTAAACATATGGAAATATGTAAAAAAAAATTGAAAAAAAAAATTGGGGGTCCTCATCATGAATGACTTATAACATTCATATGCACTCAAGTACAATTTTGTCAAAAAAAAACCAAAAAGATGACTTGTTGGATGTTGGGAAGCCTTTAAATCCACGTTACATGGTCACCACATAGGAAGGACCTCTCTGTTGAATAACGAACGACATTAATTTTTTAACTTCAAACGATTGAAGTGCTGGTTTTCCTATTCTTTTTAGTTTCTCATTACTATAGTAATGACCTAGCTTAGTCTACGGCTTCCCACTCAAAATACATTTGCAAACTGTTCTGGTAAAAAATTTAAGGATCGTAATTTTCATATTACAAAATAATCATTAAAATCCTTCTACATCATGATGTATTTCAACATAATGATTTAATTGTACCAACTACCACAATAATAAAATAGACAATACTGATAAACTGATAACACTGTGGGTTACCCCCCACTCCCAACCACCACCACAGAAAAAATATCTTGGCATACAGTAAGAAGTTGCCATTGAGTCTACTCATTACCCTATCAGCTGTGTGTTACAAAATATTTCGTGTTATACATTAATTATTGGTCAGCAATGGGTAGGTTTCTCAATGTAGTCATCGTATCGGTATCCAGGTGTGTCAGATACCTGCATAGCATACATGACCCCGGCCATCACGACCTTTTCATCTATTTACCCAATATCTGTATAAGGTCATCTATCACAGGTAAAAACCACTTAATCATGAGTTTATTTTTACCGTATGATTAGAACAACCAAATGTGTGAGCTGCTTAATTGTATCTTGTAGGTGACCAAACAGTTGACTTAAAATGGTCACCTCTATCGGCTTAGATAATAAGTTATCATTTTGACATTTATAAAAATCACTGTAATTTTCTTTTACATATATTATTAACAAGAAGCTATTCTGGTATACTCAGTGTTTCAGTAGACTGTGGCAAAAGTATTCATGTTTTTTACAAAATCAAAACATATTCTGCTTTTTATCAAAAACACATCATTTATTGATGAAACAAATTTGCACTTTCAAAGCATTTCAGTCCCACTATTGTACCGTTTGCATCATACTACCATAACAATTCTGTAGAACATTTGTAGTGTTGCTGTCAAAGTACCATAACCATAGCATTTCTGTAGTTTATCATACACATACCCTAACTTAACTGTTACTGTAGCACTTCCCTAGTACTTCAATCCGAGATGGAACAGCGAATGTGTACAGGTTTTTCCAGAAGGAGTTTTAATAATAAGTTGATGAACTACAGCTGTTTTGCTACAGTATAACATTGTCTTGCCATCAGGAGTAGTAGGTGTATTTGATGGTATTCTCATGAAAAGAAATTTTCCTCAAAATAAGTGAATATTGTGGGCTAGAAAGATTTAAGAGAGGATGATCTACTTTATAGTTTGGTCTTGATAAATATCAAATTTCTGTTCATGGGTGTCACACATTATGTTTCAAATGAAATTAATCTCCATTTATTTTACAACAATTGCAAAAAAAAAAAAAAAATTCCAACTAATATAAATCACTCTTGTAATCCTGGTTAGAAGTAGGTGTGTCTCACTGTAGGAGTACCCAGGGAAAACACATGTGGTTAGCAGGAAACCCCATACTTTTCACTTCCAGGAATTGGAAACCCTCCACCTTGGTGAAAGACAAGTTTGTTACCACTGAACCATCCTATCACCCATTATACTTGTGTTCAGACCCTTACCTATGGGTTGATTCTCTGTTACCCTTACAGATACGCAGGTGATGTAGGAAGCAGTTCCTTCTCTTACGACACTCCCCACACACAGGGCAATGGTAATGATAGTTTGACTGGGTTACATCCTCTTCTGTTCCCTGACAAGGTTGGTAGCATATCAGGATATAGTAATCTGGGACAGAAACATTGACAAAAAGATATCAACAAGGTAGACAGAATATCAGGACAAAGGGACCTAGGACAAAACTTAGACAAACTGATACCAACAGCTTCTGGGTAGGTAGTACATCAGGACAAAGGGACCTAGGACACAAACTTAGACAAACTGACACCAACAGCTTCTGGGTAGATAGTACATCAGGATGTGGGGCTCTAGGACAGAAACTTAGACAAACTGACACCAACAGCTTCTGGGTAGATAGAATATCAGGACAAAGGGACCTAGGACACAAACTTAGACAAACTGATACCAAAAGTTTCTGGGTAGGTAGTACATCAGGATGTGGGGCTCTCGGACAGAAACTTAGACAAACTGACACCAACAGCTTCTGGGTAGATAGAATATCAGGACAAAGGGACCTAGGACACAAACTTAGACAAACTGATACCAAAAGTTTCTGGGTAGGTAGTACATCAGGATGTGGGGCTCTCGGACAGAAACTTAGACAAACTGACACCAACAGCTTCTGGGTAGATAGAATATCAGGACAAAGGGACCTAGGACACAAACTTAGAAAAACTGATATCAAAAGTTTCTGGGTAGGTAGTACATCAGGATGTGGGGCTCTAGGACAGAAACTTAGACAAACTGACACCAACAGCTTCTGGGTAGGTAGTACATCAGGACAAAGGGACCTAGGACACAAACTTAGACAAACTGATACCAAAAGTTTCTGGGTAGGTAGTACATCAGGATGTGGGGCTCTCGGACAGAAACTTAGACAAACTGACACCAACAGCTTCTGGGTAGATAGAATATCAGGACAAAGGGACCTAGGACACAAACTTAGACAAACTGATATCAAAAGTTTCTGGGTAGGTAGTACATCAGGATGTGGGGCTCTAGGACAGAAACTTAGACAAACTGACACCAACAGCTTCTGGGTAGGTAGTACATCAGGACGTATGGCTCTAGGACAGAAACTTAGACAAACTGACACCAACAGTTTCTGGGTAGGTAGTACATCAGGACGTATGGCTCTAGGACAGAAACTTAGACAAACAGACATCAACAGCTTCTGGGTAGGCAGTACATCAGGGTGTGGGGTTCTAGGACAGAAACTTAGACAAACTGACACCAACAGCTTCTGGGTAGGTAGTGCATCAGGATGTGTGGCTCTAGGACAGAAACTTAGACAAACTGATACCAACAGCTTCTTGGTAGGTAGTACATCAGAGTGTGGGGCTCTAGGACAGAAACTTAGACAAACAGACATCAACAGTTTTTGGGTAGGTAGTACATCAGGATGTGGGGCTCTAGGACAGAAACTTAGACAAACTGACATCAACAGCTTCTGGGTAGGTAGTACATCAGGATGTGGGGCTCTAGGACAGAAACTTAGACAAAGTAACACAACAGCTTCTGGGTAGGTAGTACATCAGGACGTATGGCTCTAGGACAGAAACTTAGACAAACAGACATCAACAGTTTTTGGGTAGGTAGTACATCAGGACAAAGGGCTCTAGGACGCAAACTTAGACAAACAGACATCAACAGTTTTTGGGTAGGTAGTACATCAGGATGTGGGGCTCTAGGACAGAAACTTAGACAAACTGACATCAACAGCTTCTGGGTAGGTAGTACATCAGGACGTGGGGCTCTAGGACAGAAACTTAGACAAACAGACATCAACAGTTTTTGGGTAGGTAGTACATCAGGATGTGGGGCTCTAGGACAGAAACTTAGACAAACTGACACCAACAGCTTCTGGGTAGGTAGTACATCAGGACGTGGGGCTCTAGGTACAGAAACTTAGCTATAGACAAACAGACATCAACAGTTTCTGGGTAGGTAGTACATCAGGATGTGGGGCTCTAGGTACAGAAACTTAGACAAACTGACACCAACAGCTTCTGGGTAGGTAGTACATCAGGACGTATGGCTCTAGGACAGAAACTTAGACAAACAGACATCAACAGTTTTTGGGTAGGTAGTACATCAGGACAAAGGGCTCTAGGACGCAAACTTAGACAAACAGACATCAACAGTTTTTAGGTAGGTAGTACATCAGGATGTGGGGCTCTAGGACACAAACTTAGACAAACTGACACCAACAGCTTCTGGGTAGGTAGTACATCAGGATGTGGGGCTCTAGGACACAAACTTAGACAAACTGACACCAACAGCTTCTGGGTAGGTAGTACATCAGGATGTGGGGCTCTAGGACAGAAACTTAGCTATAGACAAACAGACATCAACAAGGGTAGGCAGTATATCAGGTAATCCAGGCCAGAGAAAACAATGAAAAAACAAACTAAATAGAGGTTTCTCTACCTGAGGATAATATGTTGAAAGTTTATGATAAAGGTTTGCCTTTCACTTAACTTGATACATTATTCTTAAGATTTTCTCGCCGACTTTGACACAATGATACCTTTATATGGAATACGTTTTTTCCAGTGTAGGTTGTAGTGAGCCTGGAGATGATCCTCAGTGGTAGGTTTAAACTTGTGAACAGGGCAAAGAGCACAATGGTAATATCCTCCAAACTCACTGGATGAATCTTCACATTTCTCTACTGGAATGTCTGCAACACTCCGTACAATAGACACATGCCACTGCCAAAGGAAGATAAGTATATCTAAATCATGTGACAAACACAATTACACAATTCTTACAAAATATCAGGTCATCTATACAACAATTCTTCAATCGTGAACTCAAATAAATCTATAACAGATTTAAACTGCTATAAAAGTCAATACCATATAGAAAACAAAATCAAATGGAGGTAAGAATAAAACAAAAGGCCAAGAGGGCCTGTATATAGTATTGATATTGTAGCAATCAACGGTAAAATGATAATGAGTTCAGATATATGTCTGTGGGGATAAGGAGAAAGTCTCCATGTCAGCATGGAAGCCAATGAAGAGAAACTTCTCACTCTCCTGTAACTGAGTTGGTAGGAAGCAGCTAAATATTAATTCACCTTAACAATGTAGGTAGAAGTAGCTGAAAAGGAAATATATCTAGCTGAAGCAACTGAAGTGAAATTCTCCCTATCTGAGATGGTAGAAAGCAGCCGAAAAAAAAATCTCTCTTGCAATATTGATGAAAAGCTGTTAAGGGAAATTCTCCCTAGCTGAGTTGGAAGGAACAGCAAAAGAGATTTCTCCCTACATGAGCTGGTAGAAAGCAATTCAGAGAAACTTTACCTAGCTCAGTTGGGAAGGAAGCAACTAAAAGCAAAGTCTTCCTGAAAGCACCAAAAGAGTTTTAAATTCTTACAAGAAGAGTCAGCAGGAAGCTGCTGATGACAAATTCTCTCTCGCCAAGCTGAACAGCTGATGAAGTATAAATATGGAAATGTCACAATCTTTTTCCTACCTAGTTGTTATCAATTCAAATATATATACCTTGATGTCTGGAACATCTTTCGGGTGAGAACAGTTTGCAGATATAGAGTTGTCTGCCCTTAACTGATCCAATTCCTGTCCTAGTTTAGTGTTGGCATACTCATTGATCTTTCCTGTCTGGCATCTCCACATGTGTGTGATTAACATACTCCTGTCCACAAAAATTTGGTCACAGTACTGGCAGTGGAAATGTTCCTGTAGGCTCGTATCACAATTTTCAATACACAACTGAAGGGTGTCACCTGTAGCATACAATTTGTGGTCAGAATATATATTGACAGTGCAAAGGTTCTGAAAGATAATCTTACAACTTTCAGTATAAAATTGAAGGTCATCATCACACAAAGCACTTTAACTGTCAATGTTAAACTTTAATGATATTTGAATGTCTATTGTCAGAATGAAGAAGATTTAGGAATAATGCAGCATATTTCAGTACCACAGATTATGTCTCAAACACTAAATATCCTTGAAATGAATCCTGACCATTACACTAATATGGAATGAACCTGAATTATTAACATATGACTTCAGAAAATTAATATCAGTTACCTTGAAATACTATTTTAGAAGGCAGTTTATCATCTGGAGCCGTCACCAAATCTGGAGATTTTTTCTGGCGCAGAAACAAAAACAAAAATGTATATAAATAAAAAAATGTTAATGGAAGTGATAATATACCATAATATAATGTCACATTCCATTGATCATTGTGTTCAATTGTCAGTTTGAATATGTTTTTCCATTTAAGTATTTAATTGAATTATATACCTTTATTATTCCTCATATGTATTTCCACATAAGTCCAGGTCAATTTGCACTTTATCCAACAGAAAGTAGAGAAACAAGTTTGTAGCTTATAATTAAACACCTTTATCCCTGACTTGTAGCTTATGATTAAACACCTTTATCTCCGACTCTTGTAGCTTATGATTAAACACCTTTATCTCCGACTCTTGTAGCTTATGATTAAACACCTTTATCCCTGACTCTTTCAGCTTATGATTAAACACCTTTATCCCGGACTCTTGTAGCTTATGATTAAACACCTTTATCCCTGACTCTTGTAGCTTATGATTAAACACCTTTATCTCCGACTCTTGTAGCTTATGATTAAACACCTTTATCTCTGACTTGTAGCTTATGATTAAACACCTTTATCCCTGACTTGTAGCTTATGATTAAACACCTTTATCCCTGACTTGTAGCTTATGATTAAACACCTTTATCCCTGACTTGTAGCTTATGATTAAACACCTTTATCCCTGACTTGTAGCTTATGATTAAACACCTTTATCCCTGACTTGTAGCTTATGATTAAACACCTTTATCCCTGACTTGTAGCTTATGATTAAACACCTTTATCCCTGACTTGTAGCTTATGATTAAACACCTTTATCCCTGACTCTTTCAGCTTATGATTAAACAACCTTGAATTGATTATCAAATATATGAGGCTACCTTCAGTCTGATTTTGGCTAGTTACCTAAATTTAAAGCAGGGTAAAATTATGAAATTTTACAGCAAAACTTTTCTCAAATTATATCTCCTACATATTTTAAGCTTTACTCAGTATTTATAATAAAACTTCATAACAACCATCAATGTTAACCTTGCTAAATATCTCAATTGTTCACATCAGCCAAAACAGCACCTATTTCCTCTCTCTCGTATATGTTTGAATGAGGATAACACATTTTTAGAACCCTCTATTGTGTTTCTTATTACCAACAATCTCACAGCAAAATAACAGGGATTCCAAATCGTAGAATTATCTTTACAAATATTTTGTTCCTAAACTGTAACTATAAAGCTTACCATATTTTTTACATGTTTGACAAGATGAGAATGAAAGGCATTTCTTTTCAGTAACTGTTTTGGACAGTTAGGGCAATGATAGTGACCCTTTGGCTTGTCACCACAATCTCGAAAACATTTCACAATGATCATATCTGGAAAACATGAAAAAACAACAACAGGAGTATTAATGAAACTGATGAATGCTCCCCGAAAACAGCTTTATTGGACAGGAAATTTTTACAAAGGGCAACGACTGTTTAATGTAGGGGTTTCAGGCACTGAATTTGGTATAATGTACATCCTCATTGTATGATAAATGTATACAATAATGTTTCATCCCAATTTTTAATTCAAGCAAGGTCCTGCTCTGGACAAATTATTTTTTAAACAAAGGGCAATAACCCTGTAATTGAGGGGTCAAGGGCCCTGAATTTGGTACACTGTACACAACAAGATTCAATATCCTTGCTTAACTTTTGGCAAAGTTATGTTCCAGACTCAAAAGGACGGATGGAAAATCTGCAATAATGTGTTCCCCCGAAAATTTTCGTGTAGCATAAAAAAAATAATCACTGTACGATCATATGTGAAAAGTATGCAAGAATGAATAGGTTGTTTCACAATGGTCATATCTGAAATCATTTACAAAATATTTCTCTTTCATTGTATTTTGTTAAATGATGTTTATTAGTTCACAAAATCAAAATGAACTAACCAAAATATAAAAATAATTTCCTATCAAAATTTGATTTGAATTTAAATTTTGAAACAGATCTGAGTGTATGATGAATTGAATGGTATTTTGTTATCTCTCAAATCCTTTGTAAGGATAAGACAAATTAATCTACAGGGCCTGTTTCCAAAAATAAGAACAAATGTAGAATGTCTGAGAAGCTATTTTGAATGTATATTGCTTACGTACCATCATACTTTACTGAGTGTGCGAAGTGTTTCAGTTCCAGATGATCTCTCACACGTGAAGGCTTGGCAGGTTTAAAGTGTGACTTGTCACAAAATGGACAGTGAACAGACTTACAGCCACACTCGGAACTTTTACAGTAGCTCAATCTAATAGTGTCAGACAGTGGAATGATGGTGGGGTCGGTGGACTTGTGAGGATAGTCAGTGGTAACTGTTTCACTTGTAGCAGCTTCACTCTCACCCATAGTGGTATCTCCTCCTTCACCTCTTGAAGTATCTACTCCTTCATATGTAGCATTATCAATGCCTTCGTCTGTAGCAGTATCCATTAAGCCATCTCCACTTGTAGCTACATGTATATCTACTCCGACAGTTTCACCTTCAGTTATATCCATTTTGTTGCCTGTATCAACTTTGTCATCTTTTCCCTCTCCATCAGCATCATCTCTAGCCATTCTCTTTAAGTTTCAAGTTTTGAAGGATTTCCAGCCATTTTCAGTGCACACATGCAATAACTAAAAAAAAGTTTAAATTTGATACATTGTCATTACTTAGTTTTAAATAATATTGCTCTTTATTACATGAAATTTGAAAAATACTCTTAATCTGTCAAATCCAAGGTGGGCCCCTGTGGATCAATTTGGTTTTCTGATCCCAAAATCAGAAGGGCAAAACCAAGGAATATGAACTTATGCAGGGAAAATCCATGTAGTTATTTCAAGAAATAAGAATGACAAATTTTCATTTAAAAGACCATATACAAACAATATGCCCTTTTCTGCCCATTGCTGAATGCAGTCTTTTTTTCTATTTTCATGTTATTGTTATACCACAGACATTGATATACATCATCCATTGTATTTACCACATTTGTTTTAGGAACTCCTTACCTTTGTTTATCATCACTGTTTTACTTTCCCTTGATATACTTTTAAGATAAAACTGTATATTCTGTTAGTTTTTTTGAGAAATAATTTGTCTAAAAGTTACTATGTTGAATTATTTTTTTCTTTCCTTTTGAAAAATTGATAAGGTATGAACTTCTGATGAAAAATGATATAAAAAAGAGGCTACAACTATTTAATTTATATCTATCTACTGAAGCTTCATATATGAAGAGATACAAGCAGTCCCTTCATTTTACAATATCAATATTGTTAAAAATTGTACATCCTTGGCAAATTGTAAAGTTTGCTTTGCTTGTCTTGTTTTTGATTTGTTACATGATATTTTCCACACAGAATATACATCGATTGTACATATATTCTGATCTGACATTTCTTTGATGACATTTAATACAGAAGAAACTAATTTAGTATATGATTACGACATAATGTCATCTGAAATTAACAGAAGAAATAGATTCCTTGCAATTAACTTCATTGATAATAAATATATATACATGTACAATTTGTGCCCAAGTGTAAAACATATATGCCACCTATTCGTTATCCACAACTGGCGTTTTAGGCATAATTATCCAATGCATACTTTCTAACTTGTTAGATTTGGACCATTAGCATTACAAACGCACAATTACTCACGGATTTATGAATGGGAATGTGACATTTTCAATTATAGTCATGGAAAGTGAAAGGAAAACAAGCCATTTATCTCTATATTTCACATCAAAATACCGCTCCACATTCTAGAACTGCTAATATATACAAAGATTCGTTTGAACAATACACGTTCATCCAACAGTTACGGACAAACAGAAAGTAGACTAAGCCTCGTCTGCTGCTATTTCAAATTGCACTTACCTCGAGTTATTACGCCACAAAAATGGCGTATCAACCGAATCCTTTAACAGTGACCTCGTGCGGCATATATTCAACATGAAGAAAGATAACTCCCACATTATAGAAGATATCTCGGTGCAGAGTTGTCGTTCCTTACAGATGTCCCTGCACTGTCAAGCACTAATGTCTTAATTTAGAACCATTATGTTTTTACGACATGGTAATACAAGCCTTAGTTGGCCTTTACAACCGAACCAAACTAAAAATTCAAAATGGAAAATATCGCTATGAAGTCACAGACCGACAAATTGGCTCTGGTCAGGCTGATCAGTGCAAAGACAGCTTATATTTTGTTGGGAACGGGGCATGGGTAACTAACAAGTTGAAGGCTTTCGCGGCTCATTGAACAGATACAAAAGCTAACACTTGAAAGCATCCACTACTCTCTGTAATATGTCCTTGTGCAAAATACATCTGTTGTAATTTTGAATCTGAGGCCTAAATTTCTCTGTTTGATCATGTTAGCCGATAAGTCTGTCAAATGTATACCAATGTGTTGGAAAGTTACTACACTTGATAGTCAGAGGCATAAATTTGGAGATTTTTACGTAATATTGCTTTTATTTCACATTGAAGTTGTCAAAATAATCGTTTTGTTAATAATTTGGTAAGACTATGAAGGAGATTCATGTGTAAGTTTCAACTAAACAATGACAAAACTAATTTTCATTTAAAAATTATAAGAAATATATATTGTAAAAAAAGAAATGTTAAATTTACTGATCAGAGGCATACATTTTGGAATTTTTATCTAAAAAACGATATATTAATATTTTTCTGAAATGCCTCTATGTAATCTATAGTAAAAAAAGTTCACTTGGAGCGAGAAATCCGCGCATGCGCGATGCGGTATGTCCTCAATAGCTGCATACGACAAGACCCGTGTTTACAACCATAAACTTCGCTAAAATTCTATGATCAATTCAGTAACTGAGTTTGGATTCCAAAATGTACTTTATCTAACAACCTAATTTATATTGGTAACCATTTAATTTTGTAACAATAATGTTAAATGAGAAAATCTTATGTCAATTATGTTTTGAAAATATTAATTACCATTTAATGGCTATGCAAATATCAAATGATGATCTCCAAATATATTGTTTATACAGAATGAAAAACGGTACTTGGCGAATGTGAATTATATTGCAATATAATTACCATATTTTAATATACATATGGACATAATTGTACCAGAGACATGTGTTAGTCTCTGATTGTACACAGCTCGGCATTCTCAAGCTTCTTCTGGGTATGTAGTTACATCTGCTGAGCAGTTATCCCTGTAGATTATAGATACAGGATCTTTAACGTGTTCTCATTTCGTATGAGATTTTTATCAACGAAAAAACTCTTCTTATCGTATAATTCTGAAAAATTACATTCTGACAGGTTATAAAGCCAAAATCAAGCGGAGACAACCATTTTGTGTGCCTTTTTTCAATCCATGACGTAAAGTTCATATTACATAATTACGACACAGTCAGTTACACCAGAAACAACCAGTGAAAAACTTCAGTGTTTTTACACTAGTGACTGTTCACATGGGCGATTTCACCGGACAACATACCGATTGAAATATATATATATATAGAAACTCTACATTTCTGTGAATATTATGTTATATACAACTCTGTCGTAATTCATATTTCTTAGACGCCAATATATCAGCACTCATTCAAATAAACAATATCACACAGTTCCGGTTGGATGAGCCTTAAAATGCTGGACCGTGTGGGAATGTCCAACTCGCCCGATAAAGATCAATATGCTATGCGGTTCTTTAAAAAAAAATCCCTGCTCATAAGTTAGGGTTTGGTAAGCATAAGGGATTAAATATTGGGAAATTTTGTCAGTCTTCCAAAATATTATAACACATAGCGTATGATTCCCTTCATTTTCTTCTCTATCCATATCCGTCCTTCTTGGCTACAATTCGATAATATGACAATGGGGTCTTCCCCAAAATTATAGTATTATAACAGGTTTGATAGTATAGACGGCCCCTCTCTACCTCATCTCTGTATCTCATTCTCTCCAGTCACTGATAGCATAGACAGCTCCTCTCTGCCACATCTCTGTATCTCACTCTCTCCAGTCACTGATAGTATAGACGGTCCCTCTCTTCCTTATCTCTCTACCTCACTCTCTCCAGTCCCTGATAGTAAAGACAGTCCCTCTACCTCATCTCTGTATCTCATTCTCTCCAGTCACTGATAGTATAGACGGTCCCTCCCTTTCTCATCTCTCTATCTCACTCTCTCCAGTCCCTGATAGAATAGACGGCCCCTCCCTACCTCATCTCTGTATCCCAGAGATACACTCTCTCCCGTCACTTTATACCATTTTTCCTCTACTCATTTTCCTATATTTTCTGGTCCGCTAAAGACCGACGTAATCAAATAGTGGAGGTAAAAACCGTTAAACAACTATCAATATCTGTGACCATGCAGGAACGTATCTTTAGATAGTTTACAGTGTGCATCCATGATGTAGAGAGATATAGCCAAGGCCAAACGTCCCGCGAGGGAAGCATCGTGATAAGTAACGAAGTTTTGTGCTCATTGTTAAATGAAACAGAAATACTATCTAATGTCAAATGATAAAATCTTAGAAACATGGTCTTTTAATTCTAGACCAAAGTATCACAGATATTTTCGATCTCCCCATGACCTATCATTGCCTGTACTGGCTGTGTAAATGAAAAGCGTCGATATTTTCGTTTTCGTATATAAACTCACGTATCGTCTATCTAACTTTATGTCATATACGTCTCTCCTGTAATCACTTTGTAGCAGTGTAGATCTTTGCCAGTTTAAACACCAACAAACACACTTGTAAAGGGTTCTCCGATTTATTGCTAAAACTACATTTATCACCCTGTAACAATATAAAATATAACAATCATTAGCGATGGCTTTACCATAAATTACTTTGTAGATATCGCACATATACAGCACAATATAAATATTTTGATAACAAGCCGTTCGCTTATACATGTAGGTATAGAACTATTAAAATTACAAATACTTTAACTAGATTTACAGTTTCAAATATAATAGTTACATGCGATATTGAGCATAATTATATATAAAGAATATTGCAAATCTTATCATCCATGTACATACAGAACAAATCGTTAAAAACGCAATAAATTGAATATACATCAGACTTTTAAGAGCGTACCCATTTGTGGAATAGGGGGGTGGGATCACTGTACAGCCGACGATATAGTACTAATAAGTAACAGTAATCTGCATAAAAAACAAACACAATACAGTAAATTAAAAAAACCATATAGCGTTACCGGTACATATATAAATCCGATCACGATTACACAAATCGAATATACTTTCAAAGGAAGCAAATGAATTAGTAATTGCACAATTAATTTAGTGAAAATTAGTAAATGTCTTACCTGTCAAAATTCCATCCTGTCAGTCAAGTGCCTATGGACAGATTGCCGAATAGCGCACCAAAAATGACCAAAATACAATAACGACAAAGAAAACACTGACCATTGGCCAAGGAAAGAGGTACTGATGGGATTATCAGAAACTGACCAATCAAGAAATAGAAATACCTTAAACATACACCAAGGCCAGAATAAAGGGAAACGCATATTTAAATTAATAGACGGACGCTATAACGTATATATGTATTGATATAATAAAAACATGTAATAACGAAATATCGTCTCTGCCACAACTACAATATCACGGACTTTGATATGTCTATGTTTTCAACAATCTAAATATAATTTGAGTAACTGCCCCTTTGCACGAGACTACATATCTTTATTCCCACAATGCAATATATTACGTCATAGATTATCGGAAATGTCTGCAAAACTGAAACTAAGCTTACTGCACTGTAGACAAATAATGTTTACAGCGTACCTTTCTGGTCATTGGTAATAGAACAGGTAAGTATTTATACATGCAATATGTAGGCACACCGTTACGATTTTTACTGCACCGCAAGCGAAAGTGAAAGTGAAACGAGAATACCTAGGGATGATACTATATGACATTCGGAAAAGAAAAATCCTAGTTTATATCCACCGACAGCTCGTGTGAACACCAGATCAACTGTAGCTTTCCACAAAGAAGACCCCGAGTACAGGTAGTCATTGAGGCATTCGTATTACCTGATCTGTGATAATGTACCCTGCACGTATTATTTCTGTGAGAATGTGTACTGGTGTTATTTTTCTGATGTGGTATACAACTGGTGTTATTATTCTAAGACTGAATACTGCTGATGTTGTTTCCTTATGGTTGTTACCAGTTTGAGCCATTTCCTGCAGGTTGTGAGAACATGTCCTGCTGGTGTTATTTCTGTGAGAACATGTCCTGCTGGTTTTTATTTCTGTGAGAACATGTCCTGCTGGTGTTATTTCTGTGAGAACATGTCCTGCTGGTGTTATTTCTGTGAGAACATGTCCTGCTGGTGCTATTTCTGTGAGAACATGTCCTGCTGGTGCTATTTCTGTGAGAACATGTCCTGCTGGTGTTATTTCTGTGAGAACATGTCCTGATGGTGTTATTTCTGTGAGAACATGTCCTGCTGGTGTTATTTCTGTGAGAACATGTCCTGCTAGTAGTAATATTTATTCAGATAAATACATTGCAAACAATATTACATTAAAGAGATATTCTATAAAATCACATCCATTATAAGAAACTATCACAGATGATTCTAAGAAATAGTATCACAGAAGATAAAACTAAATTAAAATTTGATTGTGCATGATATAATTTGACTAGTATAATACGCCAGTATTCATCTAGGATAACCCATAAAGTCAATTGGCCGATCGACAGCTTTTGATTGACAGCGCGGTTTAGCCAATCAGATCGCGGGTAGTATTCGCCTCTTTGTTTACATTTCGCTACTCCGACATTCTTCGACAATGGTGATACTTTGCTGCTGGGGAACTTGCAACACCGATTTTGCTACCCCGAGCGATTATAGGGAGGTGTTGTGTTCATACC